GGAAAGACAAACGCCAGTGGCTGCCAGGCACCGCGCACTGCCTGCTGTGAGGCTGCCTGGGTCCCCTGACGGTTTTTGATGACACAATGTTTTATTTTACTTCAACTTGTGTTCTTTGTTAACACTGGTTTACAGCTGTAGGGTTTAGGGGTCCAGGCTCACGCCCCCTCAGATGTGTGTCACCACACCGCAGCCAGCGCCAAAGCGCGCACAGGGCACGGGACCCCCCTCCCGCCCTCCCCCCACGCCCCCCAACCTCGACCTCGCAGCTTCCGTTCCACAGTCCGATTTCCAGGTTTTGCCGTGTCTCTTCCTTTGCTTTGACCCTTTACGGTCACACGTGAGAGCGTCACCCAGTGTCTGCTTGTCTTCTGACGCGGCTGGCACGCCCCATCCCCTCCATGCTGTCACCAAGGCAGGTTTCCTCTTTTCTGTTAACTGGGGCATTGCTATGCTCTGTGCACACGCTGAACACCCCATTCCTTCCCCACCACCCCCCTTGTTGGGCTCCTGGCTGGGTCCATAACTCGGGTGTTGCAATAGCTCTGCGTGAGCACAGGGCCACGCACCCTTCGAATCAGGGCTTTGGTGGTCGTCCAAGGACGCAAGGCCAAGATGGCCCACTCGTCTCCCAGCCCGCAGACCGGCTGGTGAGACGCAGGGGAGGTGAAGCGGCCGCATGTGGGAGACACACAAGGCTCACACGTGGCCCTGGCCGGCCACACAGCAGCCATGTAACCCTGCACTTAGCTGCCGCCAGTGCACACAAGAGGACTCAGAAGCACCGGCCACTCAGCCGGAGATAGTGGAATCCATGGACTCCCGTATGCGGTTTGCTCTGCGCGGGGCCTGAGGTGGCCCAGGCCCACTAGGCGGTTAGAAGCGCAGCAGGCTCTCATCTCCCAGCTCCCGATCGGACCAGCTGACATCAGGTGTGGCTGCGCCATGCTCCCTCTGACACCTGCCCACCTCTCGCACACCTGTGCTGGCCAGCAGCCCCTGGGGCCCCCCTGGCCTCCGTGCTGGCCTCCGAGTGCTTCCCGTACCCCCGTGTCCCCAAGAGGCTGCCCTCCGGGGACCTGTCACATCACAGTGTTGAGCCTAATGGCTCATGAACTCTTCTGGATTTAATGCACCTACAAGGCAGCTCTCAGGAGGAGGAGGATCTCCACACTGACGAGACCCCATTGCTGGAAAGATGGAGAGCAATGGAGGAAGGAGTCCCATGCCCAGAAAGATGCCTTGCGGGAAAGGCAAGGTGTCTGTAGGCCCCCGGGTCTGTAGCAGCGCAGGGACCAGCCGCCTCAGTGGGGAGCTGGCGGGGCAGCAGTGTTCTCTCTCCAAGCCCCACCAACGTCAGCGTGGCAGCTGCTCCTCAGAGACCGTGCGCCTCCTCCCGGAGGGTGGCTGCCACTCAGGGTGAGCAGGGAGCTGACGGGCTACGCAGCGCAGCCAAGCACGGAGTGAAAGATGGTCCTCTCAGACTTCCGGCGGGGCAGCCTGGTGGAGGCTCTGAGCCGGTGGGAGGAGCCGAGGGCCGGCTCCAGAGACAGAGCAGGAGAGGAAGCTCCAGCCCCGACAAGACAGCCCTGTCAGCCTCTGAAGACAGAGGAGAAGGTTCTAGCCTCTGAAGGAAGAACTGAGAAGGAGAAGAGCCATTCCCGGCCTTGGGAGAAAGAAGGGAAGACGCAGCCAGCAGCCGACCTCTGAAGGG